CGATTGACTTTCAAATTATAACGCCCGCACTGCTGAAAGGATAAGCATGTTTGGTGACGAGTTTCGACCCTGCGTCTCGAAGATTGTGAGTCGAGCTACGCAACCACAGGCCATTCTAGGCCACGTGATAAAAGGATCTGATGTTACACATTAAAGTGTGTTTTTATAAACAAGACGGAAAATACGAGTACGGTCGACTAGTAAAGATTAACAATAAATAAAAATAACGAAACTAAGATTTAATCTCCATCTTTGTTCATTTAAGAATTTCGCGTAAAGGAACGCAAGTTCCGTCTGTACCTAGCCATCTTTAGTTTTCAGCTAAAAAATTAGAGGGTCGACAACTTGTCAGCAAAACCAACCACTAACTCTTATTCGATCGAATAGTGGGATTTGACCGTCACCCTTACAGCACACCCACAGACCCCTAGTGCAAAGCACAATTTTGCGGTGACGGGTCGCAAACAATGAATCCATGAATTTACATTCTGGGCACACTAACCACTAGACCAGTCACGGCCATGTTAGATTGAAATGGACACATTAGCTGAGTAAAATGTATTCATCTTTGCATTCACTCTAGGGTTCTTAGAATTAAAAAGTGGTTGAAAGTACAAGAGGAAGACGCATTAACTTGTTACATAAATTAAGCATTAAAAAACTCATTCACGATTTGTTTGCTTAATTCAATCCAAAAATTATAAAACTATTTTTATGCTTTTTTTAATAACCCTAAAGAAAGTAGCCCCTCCCCACACACACACTGTCTTTCCGATGGCTAAAATTTGGGATAAATCGCCACGGTGGGCACATTTTTCATGTGAGAAAAGGTTGCAGAATGCACATTTTTAGGTGTAAAGGTGTAATATAATTAAAATGAGTAGTATGGAAAAAATTATGATGATTTCTTATTTTGGCACTAAATGGGTTTTTCTATCTCGTTAAGAATGAGGAACAGTAACTTTTCGATCCTACTAATTGTAAATAACGAAGTCTAGTTTTAGGCATACATTCATATAGGGGTGTGTAAGATTGGAATGTATCAATTAGCATTGATTGAAAGCTTTCCAAGTCGTTATAATATTACTTAAGTATTACGACTTACGTGGCAGGTTTGGGTAGTTCTAGATACATCTAAAGAGAGCAAGTTTCGTAGCAGATGATTTAGTTAAAACCTAGTTCAACTTTTTTCAGTCGTAATTTGATGCAGAGGTAACATACACACAGAAAAAAAAAGCTACATCGTCACGGTGTCATCAATTTTAAACATGTTTAAGTATTGCATGTTTATGTTTAATGTAATAGAAATATTCTAATAACTTTACTGATACTCTATTTTTCTTACTGTCACATAATGAAACATTAAGGAACGACAGAAAATACTGAATTATTAGCTTTTTGTTATGAAGCTTAATCTTAATAATATCAGGTTTAAGCTTAATACTCTCAGGTTGAAACTTAATATTTTCATGTTTAAACTTAATACTCTCAGGTTTAAGCATAATACTCTCAGGTTGAAACTTAATATTTTCATGTTTAAACGTAATACTCTCAGGTTTAAACTAATATTCTCATATTTAAAATTAATACTCTCAGGTTTAGCTAATATTCTCATGTTTAAAATTAATACTCTCAGGTTTAAACTAATTTCCTCATGTTTAAACTTAATACTCTCATGTTTAAACTAATATTATCAGGTTGCCACTTTTTAGAAGCTACTCAACGACTGACTTTGCTTATCTTATGATAATCATTTACACAGCCAGTTAAATAGACTCTAGAATGGGCGCGATTAGGCTATATATACATCTATGCTACAAATATATTTGGAATAATAACCGCAAGAGGACTATATTAGTTTACTCATGCCGTGACTCATTTAAGGTTTACAACGTTTTAAAGCTCAAACATAGCGAACGTGAAACATTCAAGTCATTTTACTTAGAAAAAATTAAACAGTAACAACAAAAAGATGTTATTACACTTGAACACTGATTTTTATCTAGTTCATTTTGGTTGTTAGCCGCGGCATAGCGGCTGATAGAATGGCTCTATTTTTTATTTTTTTTCAAGTGCAAACTTTTAGCTCAAAACTCCATCTCTTGACCGATTTGGGGTCTAATTACAGCCGCAACTATTGAGGCTTCCCTCTTGTCTAATTAGAAGTGAGCAGAGACAGCTTTCCGACTGTCTTAAGCAACTCCGAACAAAACTTGAGTGTTATTGCTAATTACTGGAACAATTCGTGAATATCTTTTGCTATGTATTTGCTAATGCAGTTTCTTACTTTAATATATCTAACGTGTAGATGTGACGGACAAGTATGATGTAATAAAAGTAGAACTGGTAGAAACTTCTGAACCAGGTATTGATTGCTCAAAGGTGAAAGTAAATTCTTGTTTTTCAGCATATTATTAGGCGTGATAAATTAACTTATATGTTTTAGTTACGTTCCACGTGTTTGCATGTTTTAAATTAAAGGCGAGATTAAAATATCTCATCATGAAACTAAAACACTTTACTTACTCTAGCTACTTGGCTATGACTTTATTAACCTTTAATTTAACACAACTCTAGATAAGAAATATGGTGTTTTGAATAACGCTCTGAACAACAAGTCACAGCGAATTCAACCGAATAATCTTACAAAACAGGTGATTAGGGTTTCTAATGTGAGCATGGGGCAATGTGTATGGTGTACCATTACAACTATACAACATACGTAACAGGCTACAAAACATCTCTCGAATTATTTAACCCACGAACCAACTTCATACCCAACTCGTACTTTAATCAGTAATAACTTTATGCTATTACTGATATTCCTCACTCTATATAGAAAATCACACTTTTTTTATTTAGTCAGTTGTGAAATTTGTTTCATTTATCTTCGTTACCCCTTACTACTTTCAAGAGATATTTTATTGGGCAGCTGGAAAAGCAGGTTGCAAGACTTGTTTCTTGCGTTAGAAGAGATCGTGATACGGATACGAGGGTAGATTTATCGGTTACCGTCATCTATTTATTCTATAAGTAGTTTGAGGTATAACACATGTGAACAGTTTTCACACAGTTTGTATGTTTTAGAATTTTTGCGCAAAGTCGTTTCTAATTTTAAACTACCAAAAGAAAAGACAGCTAGGCAACAGCATTCACCGCCATCTGTTGAGCAACTCTGGTCGAATAGTGGAACTTGATTGTTGTTCTGATAACACGCCCATGACCCCCCAAGTGCAAAAGAAGTATTTGAAGTAACGGGACGCGAACCATAAACCCTTGAATCCATAGTCCAAGAACGCTAACTACTAGGCCATCTCCGGCCTCTTTTTTCAACAAGAATCGTTAGTCACGGAGAGTGTGGATATATCTGAAGAGATATGTCGTCGAAATACTTCAAACATTTCAGTCTTTTTCTTCCAAAATTTTTAATTTGTTTAAACAGTAAGATATCAGAATTCTTGATTTCAACCTGCTATTGATATCTGAATATGGTTTTAGTTAATTTTGTTTAAAAATGGGAGGTGAACAAATGAAGATATTTATTGGAAAGAGTTAATTGTACTTGTTAATTGTTTTTCTGTATTTTAAAGTTCTTATGATCAGATGGTATGCTTCTTAACCTAGCATTTCATATTTGTAAAATAATTATAGTAGAATATTAATATCATGTACGTACGGTGATATTATAACTACAGATACTGAGAAATAATTGACTAGATATTGTTACTTTTAGCATGATTATAGATTAGAATTTGAGTTTGGTACTGTAATTTATACATTTTATGAGAAATAAAAGTAAATGTGCTATGCTACAGAATATTCTGAATAATAAGCACGTGTCATGCTACAGGATATTCAGTGTAGTAAGCAAGCACTAAATTTGAACTGTAAGCACTGTGGTGTCGCAGGATATACAAGCTATTGAGAACGTACTGCATCATAGAACATATATATTGAACAGTAAGCACTGTGGTGTCACAGAATATCCTGAACAGTAAGTAAGTGGTGTTATAAAATGTGTAGTAGGAAAGTTACATTGTTTCTGTGTCTCTTGCAAAACCTGTAGTTGTCTAGGCTCAACAGTGGCAATAAAAAAAAAGCAATATGGTTAACGATGAGCATTGTTGGATATTACGAACTATTTAATAACAAGTAACTTGAAGTACAATAGTTGGTGAGTTCCTTGCTATAAAGATCATATACTTTAGTAAAATTCACATTGCTAATAGTGGAGTACTATGGAAAGTGTCTTGTTACTAGAAGCACAGTATTTGGTAGGAACCTTGTTACTTAAAGTACGAAACTTTAGTAAGAACCTAATTAAGAACTTTGTTATTAGGTGCATAGAATATTGTTAAGGACTTCGTACTGAGAATATAACGCTTTGATAAGAACCTCGTACTGAGAATATAATGCTTTGATAAGAACCTCGTTAAATTTCGACTGTTTACTTTTATACCTTTAATTTCATTTAATTGCAATAGACAAATGAATCCAAAAATTTCCATTACTGAAATACAACAACATTTATTACACAATCCACACATTACGTCCCAGAATTAGCACATGCAACTTGCTAGCACTACATTAATATATTTATGAGCATACAGTCAGCAATATTTAGTACAGATTACACACATACGTCCCAGATGTAACACATTCAAGTTGCTAGCAATAGATAAATATATCCACGAACATACAGTTAGCAATATTCAGTATACAGTTTAAAAAACGGCATACTATAATACGCACATATTGTATAAATACGAAGCTCATTTACAGCAGTGTGGAGGCATTACAATAAGCACATACAGGTGACCAAAAGAAAACATCAGAAATTAATAACACTACAATACTATTTGTGCACATCCAAGCAGAGATGTGACTGTATGTTTTACAGATAAACGTGTAAGGTCGAAAATCTGTCTGCTAATAATTCCAGCTTTTTAAGATTAGTATTTGAGGGTTTTTAGAATTCGGCCATAGGCAGGAGCAACAACCTTAGCAGCAGAGACGTAGGCAGGGGCAGCGACCTTGACTACAGGGTGGTAAGCAGCAGGCTTGGGGGCGGCGTAGACCTTTGGTTGGTAGGTAGCAGGAGCTTGTTCGGATGTGATTTGGACATCAGCTGGGTTTTGGTTATCAGTGCCAGGCTCGTTGGTCTTAATCACAAAACGGACACCATTGGCATCAGCAACGTACTCCACCTGGCGGTAGACACCTGCGGCATCACGGTAACCATAAGAACCTTGCTTGTTGCCACTGGCGTCACCAGATTCCTGTTGCCACTGTGTGTCACCGTAGTCGTTCTTGATGTCATAAGAAAAGTCATAGGGTTGTGGTGCCTCCTAATGTGTAAAAACAAAACAGAAACTGCTTGATTAAAGACAAAACAGCTGCATAGATGAAAAGTTTACCTTCATATTATAATCTGAACTTTACGTTACTAAGGCCAACTTTCTGTCAAACTACGAACCAGTTGTTGCCTAGCAAACAATTGAGAGAAAATTATATAATCGATTTTCCATATTAGTATTTGAAGAAGTATAAAATGGAATCTTAACTAGTGTTTGTAAGAATGTAAATAGAATATCTCACACATAAGATAAGTACAGTTTTGACAAAAAAAAAAGTCAACTACACACTCAAAAGTTCTACAATTACTACTGAATGAAGAAGTTAACACCATAAGATATATATGATGCGAAACTCACCACAGGCTCAGGAGCATAGCCATAAGGTGTAGGGACGGCATTTGCTACCACAACAAACAAGCAGGCGACCAAAACCTGTATATAAATATTATCATATTATTATTATTTTTTTTTTACGAAGAATACGTCAATATGGAGTATAAACAGAAAATAACAATATTCACCAGTTTTAACTTAATGTTTCTTGGCTTTAGTTTGTTTGAAAACATATGGATGAACAGTTTAATGTTTATTCATTTCACTGCTTTTGAATTAGATAAAAAATAATAATGAACTGCATATTTATCAAAGAAACAAATTAAACTCTATAGATATAATGTTGTAGTGTATGTTAGGTTATTTAGTGTGGTAATTTTTTTCACAGGTAATAATTTCCCCGAAAGAAGGCCGAAGGCCACGTGGAGGGGTCAACTGTTTTAACCACTCTCACCACCATACAGTAACGTATTGTCTGTCACTCACATAAGGGACATTTAACGTTACAATTTGTAATGTCGAGACGTCAGTAAAACGTGCGCATATTATGAATCACGAGAAGAATTATGCACTCTGTAGGCTAGAACACAGCATGACACATGAACTTGAAAAGGAAGAAATAAAAGTACTTGTTACTCTTAATTTTGGTTTTATTTACTCTTGAAACAGTTTGGTTTGTTGTGAATTTCGCGAAAAGCTACACGAGGGCTATCTGCGATAGCTGTCCCCAATTTAGCAGTGTAAGACTAGAGGGATGGCTGCTAGTCATCACCACCCACCGCCAACTCTTGGAGTACTCTTTTAACAACGAATAGTGGGATTGACCGTCACATTAAACGCCCCCACGGCTGAAAGGGCGAACATGTTTGATGTGACGGGGATTCGAACCCGCGACCCGCTGATTACGAGTCGAGCGCCCTAACCACCTGGCCATGCCGGGCCCTCTTGAAAAAGAACACTTCTAGGACCCTGCGCATATACGTCTAGTACATATTTTATTTCAAACATGTTTTTTGTATAATTAAGTATAACATACAACAGTCTGTATTCAAACATGAGCAAGAACTCTGTGTAATTATTTTGTGTCCAAATACATCCCTTTGAAAACTTTGTTAGACTTAATAATTTAACTGTTATTATATACATATGTTATTGCACAGTATATCAGCTTTAAGGGTTGTTAAATAACTAACATTATATTTTTACTACGATAAAGTAAAATATTTTAAGATGTTTTAGTATATAATTGAACATGCTTACCTTGCAGATCATTTTCACACTTCTTTCTTCTAACTGCGAAGCCTTTGAAAACCAAACGATTCCTGATCTTATTACTTCACAAAGTCTGCTTTTATATACTTTGAGTTTTTTACCTGCACTGGCTTTTTTTCTATTGTGAAGCTTACTTAGCTGATGTAATACACGCTGAAGTAGTCGCCATTAACAACCTCGGGCTTGGGCTTGGTAACCTACCGTTACCTAATTAACTTTCCCTTGTGTTGTGTAATTCTACTATTAGCCGCATGTAAAAAAAATTGGTTTACTTTAATTTTACCAGAAGAAAGAGAATTTGAGGTGACATGATTCCCCTGTCTTCTCCAGAGAACAGACTACTTTTAAAATGATTTAGGCCTAGGTGTGATATAGAATATCGCTGCTTTTCTGGCATTTTGATGAACAAATTAAACTATTGGTATTGTTTTGCTAGGCTTAGAGAACAACTGTTTTTGCTGAGTAGACCTTAATAAATCATTCATTAATATTCCGTATTTTACTCTTTTTCTTCAGGTGTCAAATTAACTTTTTTTTTATAGATTTCAGATGGATCAACTAGCTTTACCTCTGAATAGTTTTGTTTGAGTTTGCTTATTGATTATAAATACTTTTTTTTATAAGTTACAGCTTTTACAGTAAGGAAGAATATTTCTTTTAAACAGGTATGATGTTTCGATCACTAGTTCGATCATTTTCAAGTACAAAAACCTGTCATATCTGTTTTTTTTAAATGTTCTCCCTTTCTGTAAAGGCTGTAACTTGTAAGAATAGTCCTATCCCTATTCTACGCTTTTTCTTTTACAAAATTTTAAATATAGAACCATATTTTTTTTATCTTTAATGTTAGTTCTTTTAAGAAATTTCACAGGAATACTCACCACTAACTATATATTTGAGATTACTTGCATAAAGTTAAATTACTAACGTTTGCTTAGTTTTATCTATAGATTGATCTTTATCATTCAATAAAGCTCCAAGTATGAATTTTACGATTCTGTGATTGATTTGTAGAAACGTTTACCGTTATTATTCTTCAGTTTTTGTTAAGCGTAAAGCTGCACATGGGTTATCTGACCCACCACAGGTATCGAACCCTGAATTTTAGAGTTATAAGCCTTCAAGCTTATTGCTGAGTCACCGGGGTGGTATTATTACTAAATATTAATTGTTATATTTATACATACTACGAAGAAAACCTATTAGTGTTATAGAAAATATTTTGTTCTAGCATCGACCTTAGCCGACTTGTGGAAATGTGTAATTGTTTAAACTACATAGTAGCTCTTATGAGAGCGAGCAATGAAAAATTCATCTACGCAGTGAACCTGAGAATCCAGTAGAGACTGCTAATGAAGCTACATTTTTGCTTTAAGCGATTACAGACAAATAAATTTTAGTATTTACCGTATATTTGGCTAATCAATTTCTAGCTAATTCGAACAAATCCAGAAGTAAGTTGAATCACAAAACGCAGCTTGAAGAGCGACACCTGAACCTCTGTTTTGCTTCAGCGGTTGTTCTTTCTATGTCTTGAGATCTCTGGTGAAATGGCGGTTGCAGATTCTAGCTGAAAGACATCTTTTGCAATGTTAACCTAATTATTGATAAGATAAATAATATTATAGAAAAGTTTCTTTGCAGGATATAGCACACTGACATTTTATTTACGGGTCATAAAATTCAACAGTACAGTATTACAAAACCATCTCACTAATAAGCATATGAAATATTAAGCATGTGTTATACGCGCGTATAACACATGCTTAATATTTCATATGTTTGCGTTTAAACTAGCATTTCAGCTTCCATCACTTGCATAAAATCATTAGTAACGATAGTAACAATATTGACTCAAATTAACAGCTGCCTATAGCATAGTTGAATTACAGCAGCTTCAAATTAACAGTCGCCTGTAGCATAGTTGAATTACAGCAGCTTCACCTTCAAATTAACAGCCGCCTATAGCATAGTTGAATTACAGTAGCCTCACCTTCAAATTAACAGCCGCCTATAGCATAGTTGAATTACAACAGCTTCACCTTCAAATTAACAGCCGCCTATAACATAGTTGAATTACAGCAGCTTTACATACAAATTAACAGCGCCTATAGCATAGTTGAATTACAGCAGCTTCAAATTAACAGCCGCCTTTTGCATAGTTGAATTACAGCAGCTTCACCTACAAATTAACAGCCGCCTATAGCATAGTTGAATTACAACAGCTTCACCTTCAAATTAACAGCCGCCTATAACATAGTTGAATTACAACAGATTCACCTTCAAATTAACAACCGCCTATAGCATAGTTGAATTACAGCAGCTGCACCTTCAAATGAACAGCCGTCTATAGCATAGTTGAATTACAGCAGATTCACCTTCAAATTAACAACCGCCTATAGCATAGTTGAATTACAGCAGCTTCAAATTAACAGCCGCCTGTAGCATAGTTGAATTACAGCAGCTTCACCTTCAAATTAACAGCGCCTGTAGCATAGTTGAATTGCAGCAGCTTCAAATTAACAGTCGCCTATAGCATAGTTGAATTACAGCAACTGCACCTTAAAATTAACAGCGCCTATAGCATAGTTGAATTACAGCGGCTACAAATTAACGGCCGCCTATAGCATAGTTGAATTACAGCAGCTTCAAATTCAAATTAACAGCGCCTATAGCATAGTTGAATTTCAGCAACTTCAAATTAACGGCCGCCTATAGCATAGTTGAATTACAGCAGCTGCACCTTCAAATTAACAGCGCCTATAGCATAGTTGAATTTCAGCAAC